AGCTATCCTTGATTCAGATATGGCTGTAATTGTAAGTTTTGTGCATTCTGAATTGTCAAATATGAACTCATACAGTCTGTTGAACTTGTCCTGGTTTGAGTTTTAAATGAACGTAGTCTAATGAACTGAGTTTTATCGATGTGGTTTCACTGTATCTGTGTGCATGTATCTTAGCTGCGATGTTTTGATTCTTTGTAGTTACATGTTTTCTTGTACTTCAATTCCAATAATTGATCCTTGACAATGACAATATCTCACTCAACAGGTATCAACTATTCAGTCCTGCTCACAGGGTATCAACAAAGTTGTCGAGTCTTTGCAGCAGAAGTTTCCTACTGTACCGAAGTCTCATTTGCGGAATAAAGTCCGGGAAGTATCTGACTTTGTAGAAAACCGATGGCAGGTTGGTGAACTGGTTCTAAATTCTTACTTTTAAGATTTTAAAAGTCTGATACGTAGATGCTTTGGTGATTTCATTCTTAAGTTGCTTGTCCCTGTCTGATGCATAGCAAAACTTTGATTCTGATTGTGAATGCCTATTTTCACTTACCCTGTGACATAAATAAATAACTGCAGAATCTTAGGTTTGATTTACAGTCATTATCTTAGTTTGTTGATTTCGACTAGTACTCGATCGATTCTTTTACTTAGCAGTAAGCATGGTCTATGTATGCAGGTAAAAAAGGAAATTTTGGAGAAACATGGTGTTCTGGTGTCTCCAGGTTTGTATATTTTGGTTGCAGACACTATCACGTGTATTTTACTCGATTTCGATCAACTCTTTTTCTTTATTTGCAGAAAAAAGCATCCGAAGACCAAAAACTATTGCAGCATTTTTCTCAAAACGCTGCCTGCCGCCTACCGGAAAATGTATTAATGTGAACGAAACTTCACCTCAGTCTTTGAAACCAGGTTCAACTGTCCAAGATCAGAAAACTTACACGAATCAATAGCATCGTCTCGCCGTTACCAGGTTTTGTACTATGATCCATCGTATGTTCTTCCTCCATAAGAGACTCATATATCTGTGAATCCTGTTGTAGACTGAAGTCTAAGATGTTTGAAAAGAGAGAAAATGAAAAGGGGGGGTGTCCTGTAGTTTGAATGTATCTTTTGTTGAGTCTATAACCATGAAGAGCAAGTGATATAGAAAATGAAAGGGGGTGTCCTGTATGATAGTTTTTGTTCTGTTTTGCTGCTACTGAACAAACTGATGAACCCAAGCTATGATGTTTACATGATAAAGGGTGGATCGTGTTTGTACCATTAACTTGCACTTGCATTCTTCACAAATCTGATTTAATTTTGGAGTTGTAGTTTATCAATGATATATATTGGAGCTCCATAGATTTTACTAGTTTTTAGTTAACTTATTATCTATTAGTGATTTGATTTAATTAAAGGATGAATATAAAAATTATACTTAGCAAGGATGGATATGTTGGGAATGAACGTTTCTTTTATGCAGCTCCTCAAACAAAGAAACCACGCAACTCGAGATTTGTGGGGGAGCGATTGTTTGCATTTTTCCCTTTTTCTTTGAATTGATATTTTAAATTATTGATCGGTAAAATGTACATTCTAAATGTTATATATATAGTTTTATTATGTTTAATCATGGATTAACTTATAAATAAGCAATGACCCCTTGGTCCGAGTCCTTCCAGAACTGTCTTGGCCATTTTTTTTTTCTCTAAAATTAGGGCATTTGTCCATATTTCGAGAAAAAGTCTCTTGTTTTTCATTCCCGTTGTACATCGGGTTCTGGAGAGGAATTTCAACACATCATTTTTGTTCCTCAGAGAAGGATTTGACATTCTGGCTTTGCTTCTTCTTGGGCCCAGACGCCAACCTCTGCAGGTGAGGTTTGAACTTCAAGAAAATCGGACGACTACTTTTGAACCTGCTTCTCCTCTAAGAAAAACCAATTTATTTTTTGTGTGACTTCGTAATCCAGGACCTTCTCTCCAAATATCTTATCCGCGATTCTTCTCGATCCCTCCAGATCGCCCTGAGCAAGTGAGGAATATCTCAGCATAATTGTCTGCTAATCCAGGATCTCCATAACTTATAATACTCTAAACGTCGGTCTTGTAAAACATCACTTAATATTCATAATCACTATGAAAATTACACAATTAGCGTAATCAAAATTTAATATGCATTAACTTCATGCGTACACTTACAACATTAAAAATTACACTCAACAAATCCACTAACTCTACTTGTCACGTGCTATAAAACTTTATAAACAAGAGCGTTTTTTTGATGGGTAGGACTTTTGTTACATTTTTCTTTGTTGTTTCTTCAAGTTTTCAACTATATTATGAATATGGAACCAAAATTGAAGCCATAATTCCAAGCTTAAACTCACAAACACATACAATACATATATATAATCACAATCAAACACAAACACAAAGAAACCAATCAAATATGAATGAATTTGAATCATCATCAAGAACCACAAAACCAAAACCAAAATTCATCCAAAAAGAAGAATCTTCAAACTGGGAATGGCGCCGCCGCCCACTTCGAATCTTCAAACTGTTGAACCTTAGCACTTCTCTGCTCACCACTTCCATTTCCCTCAACATAAAAGTAATACTTCAAACAGAACGCCAAAACCAGCACAACCCACTCCAAACCGAAGATCAAGCAGCTCAATCCGCCGCCCAATTTCAAAATCACCGACCCATCTTCCTCCCGGACGTACGATTTCAGTTCCCCAAGGAAATCGCTAGTTCTGGTGAAAATCAGAACCGCAACAGAGCCTTGAAATATGGCGGTCAGGACGGTGAAGACCATATGGACGCCGAACCAGCGCCCGGTTGCGGCGGCAGCCATGGCGCAGCCGGAGACAGCGCCGGCGATTGTGAATGCGTGTAGGAAGATTATGAAGAAGCCGCATACGGAGGGGATGAGGCGGAGTGATAGAGTTAGGAAAATGCAGGAGGAGGCGGCGCCGAGGAGGATGTAGTTGCAGAGGAGGAAGAGCTTGTGGATGTTGTAATGTGACCTGGAAATTGAGGGTGATGGTGAAGATGGTGAGAGACCCATTGGCGAAATCTGGTTCGTTTCGCGTCGAATTTGGGAGATTGAAGAAGATTGAAGAAGATTGAGATGAGATTTGGGGATGAAGAACGGGAAGAAGATATAGATTTGCAGGTAACGGTCAGTTTTGTTTCTTTAATTTTTAAATTCTGAGAGACGTTACTTGGTTAACGGCTACTTCTTTGTGTTCTTTACAGTTGTGAGGATTATCTTTTGAATTGATTTTGGTGGGGTTTGTGACTACTTTTAACCAACAGCTAGAATACGAAAATACTCGAACGTGAAACTTAAAAAAGAAAACTCGATCGTCCGAGATTTGGCTAGTGGTCAGTGAGAACTGTGAGTAAGTAGAGCTTAAAGGGAATGAGTTCTTATCCACAATTTAATATACTTTTGTTTTTCCTTAACATTTTGAATTTTTTGACTTCCACTTACCCGGACCCTTTATATACTTTACCATTTTTGTATCAAGAACGGAGAGGTTCAAGAGATAAGAGAATTAAGGATACCCACCAGAAAAACTAATCCAATCCATATCGATGTACCGAAAAAGACCAACCCCAGGAGAAGAAATGCAATGGGCACACTAACCAGTAAGATTATTGAAGTAATAATTAATGCGAAAAGAGCCAAAAAGCGGAAACCTACCTACTTTAGACTTTACTTTTTATTGAAAAGTTATTTAGGGGTTCTTGTGAATCGAATCTAATTGCTTGAAATTCCGTCTAGTAAAATGGAAGAATTATAAATCTCCAAAATAATAGATAGGAATGTCGCATAGATCCATCGTGACACCCATCAAAGGCGTAGTTCCCCACCCAGGAGCCACTTTACCATATTTTGAATTCAATGGTTTCAATAAATTCCCAACAATAATTGTCTTGGCCTAAATCTAGAACTATTCTCAACGATTTGTGTAACCATAAATAATCAGAATGTTTGAAGGTGAAAGAAAGAACAAATTTGAGATTGAAGGTGAAAGAAAGAACAAATTTGAGATTGACCATTGGGTTTTGGCGGTATTTATCATGCATCTCGAGGACCTGAGACCCTTGAAGAATCTTTTCCATTCTTCGGATATGTGTGGAAAGATAGAAATAAAATGACTACCATTTTGGGTATTCACTTAATTTTGTTAGGTATAGGTGTTTCTCTTCTAGTATTCAAAGCTCACCATTTTGGGTATTCACTTAATTTTGTTAGGTATAGGTGTTTCTCTTCTAGTATTCAAAGCTCTTTATTTTGGGGCGTATATGATACGGCTCTGGTGGAATTTGTATACTTGGTGGAATTTGGCATATCTTAACTAAACCGTTTGCATGGAATTTGGCATATCTTAACTAAACCGTTTGCATGGGCCCACCGCGCACTTGTATCAAATTTATCTTTCTTTCGTTTCCCCTATTTATAGTGAAAGTGTGAAATCCCACGCTGCGCACTTGAACCGTTTGCAACCGTTTGCATGGGCTCACCGGGCACTTGTATCAAATTTATCTTTCCCCTATTTATTTCCCCTATTTATAGTGAAAGTGTGAAATCCAACGTCGGTTGGAGAGAGGTTGCACTTGTATCAAATTTATCTTTCGTTCCCCCTATTTATAGTGAAAGTGTGAAATCCAACTCGGTTGGAGAGAGGTTTTTTTACAAAGGTGTAGAAACATCTCCCTAACATACACGTTTTAAAACCGTGAGGTGTGAAAACATCTCCCTAATACACATATGTGACGGGCCAAAGCAGACAATATCTATTAGCGGTGAGTTTGGACCATTACAGAAAGAACAGCGAACAAGAACAAGAATTAAGGATCAAGATCAAACCCAGAGTTAAGATTCCTAGCACGATCTTCCATTTTCAATACTTGATCTCGTCTACGAAAATTAGATGATAAACGAAATCATTACCCTCTAAACTAAAACAAGTAAGATCCAAGTAAGAAGAATGTGAGTGATGGATCAAGATAAAACAGCAGTGGGATTTGGTGCCAAAATTTATAGTTGGTTTGGTCATTACAACAATAAACAGATGGGAAATTAGTTGCCATTCTAATCTGTGTTCGACAAAAATCAAAACCCAAGCCATTACTGAACCTTTTCTGCTAAACAAATAAGGTACTGGGGGAGACTAGTTGGTGCAACAACCAAAAACAGCAGCAGCAGCAGCCACAAGACAGTCTAATCTTCCTAACTTTAAGCAATCAAGACTCGAACGTAATATCTAAACTTGAAAACACTTAAGATTTGTATTCAAACGTAGTCGAGTCGAGTAGTTTAATACCTGTTGCTCCTACACTTGAATTTCGCGGCCGAAGATCCAGCTAAATGGAACTCTTTGTGCTTGCTTGGCTCTGCTTTGAGCTCTCTCTTCCAGTCTTCTAATCCTTGGAGGTAACCCGCACACGAAATCTTGTGCTTTGCGTCCCTTGCCTGAGAGACCTGTCAAATTCTCTATTTTCCATCTACTGACAAGGAACTCGAGAATGTCAGCATAGTCTTTAGCAGTGTAAACGCCGAGCCGTTGAGCAACAGATGAAAAGTTCTCGAAAAGGTTGTTGTCCTGACCGTCGTACATCAAATGGGCTGGCATTGAGATTTTTTTCTTCATCATGTCAGCTAAAGCCATAACGGTATCATCAGGGTCAACCTCGAAAAGCTTCTCAACGATCTTGGTGTAGGCAGTCTCGTGGCGTTTTTCATCCGAGGCAATTATACCACATACCTGTGCTAGCTTAAAATCGCCATGCTCCTTGGCTAGCCTAGCTGTGTTGCCATGGGAGATGAAAGTTGCCCTCTCTTGAAATGAAGTGTAAATGAAACCAAGGTATGGATTGTTTTCTGTTTTGGGATCCTAAAAGGCACAAAGACACAAACCATGGGTTCAAACACAAATATTAGCTTTAGAGAACGAGAAACACGAGAAAAACGAGAAAAACGAGTTTAGAGAACGTCGAGTAATCTAACCATTCCCGATCCAATGAGGTACTGAATGGTCTTTTCAATCTGCTTCATATCCACTCGTCCCGACAGGTAAAGGTACTTATTCAGAAGGTCACCATGCCTATTCTCTTCGGCAGTCCAGGCTCTTGTCCATACTGCCCACGAGGTGAGGCTCGCACCAGTTTCATCACGGACGCCATCGAGGGTGTTCAGCATTGTCTGGTAAGTTGGAAGGGCTTCTTCAGTGATCATGTCCCCAACCAACACGACAAAATAGTCATCGGGAATCTCCTTCGATCTCTCCCTTATTTCCTGGACTTGGTCATAGAAACCATCGGATTCGGGGTCGGGGAGATAATCTTGAGGTTGCCAACAATTTTCAACAGGCTTTAGGTGAGCCAAGATGTTCTCTTCTGCCCAATCTTCTAATGATTTGAATATCTCCATCTTTTGAGGTGCCATGGAATGAGTCACTTGGACGTGTACTTCTCGGGGAGGGAAATGCGACTTCTTTGCTCCCTCGGTCTGTCTGTAGAATCAAAGAAACAACAGTACTAAGCCGATCTCGGTCGTGTAAGTCGGGAATTTTCTTTCCAAGATCAACAAATTATTAAGAATAGTTCGAAAAGAGTCATCAAACTGCTACTCCACTCCAGAAATTACAAGCTAATCCCAATTGAATCGAAATGTAGTTCGAGGAAGACCGTTGTTATGTAACGGCCCAAGCCTAAGCCCACCGCTAATAGATGCCCACCGCTAATAGATATTGCCCTCTTTGGTCTTTCCCTTTCGGGCTTCCCCTCAAAGCTTTAAAACACGTCTGCTAGGAGAAGGTTTCCACACCCTTGTGAAGGGTGTTTTGTTCTCCTCCCCAACGTTGGGAGACATCAAACTGCTACTCCACTCCAGAAATTACAAATATGGCATACCTTTAGCCATAAATACAAACATAACACAACCATAGAAAAGAAAACAACACAAAAACAAGAAGCTATTACAAAACTGGTAATAGCATGATGTCGATTTTGTTTCATATCCTAAAAAGTGTCGACTAGTGCTCAAGATCTCAGAGGGAATGAGTTCTTATCGAGAATTTAATATACTTTTGTTTTTCCTAACATTTCGAATTTTTCGTTCGACTTCCACTTATCGATCCCAGCCTGGAAAAGTGACCGACCAAGACCCTATACATGCTTTACCGAGTGTTCGAAGGTGAAGGAAAGAACAGATTCGTGACCAGTCATATGTCCTGTTTAGTCGAATTAATCTTTCTTTTGTCTTTACAAGAGAGTAAAAGAGCGAAAGAAAGGAGAAGATCAAGAAGCCGAGGTTCAGTCGAGCTAATCTCAGAAACGAAAAAGTTTATAATAAATCTTCATATGTGCCTTAATTCTGCTAGTAGTATTACGTTACAAACTAATTTACAGCAAGTTCAAGCATTTTTCGACGTAAGCGTAAACTTGATGGAATCGAGTATAGGAATAAATACACTTAATCGAAAGTTCAAGAGTTCATTTATTTTTCGAACTACGAAGAACAAATAAACACCGACATATGAACTTTGAAAGTTCATGAACCTATGTTCAACTAGTATTTCATCAATGCATCAAGCAAACAATTGTTTACTTCTATTGATCAGACTCTAAAAACCAAATTATCGTGCCCAAACATCTTCAAGCGAAACATCGGTAGTGTTACTATGTGGTAGATTATTCACATAACAAAGAACAACATCTGGAAAAACAATGAAATCAGACAATATTTTACACGTACCGGTTGAGAACGAGCGTACTACTACAATAAACATTAACAGCACGGTATTAAAAAAAAATCAAACAACTGTAAAACGTGTTATATACAACAAGTGCTAAACAAGTATAAGGGAACTGGCAGATCGACTAAACGAACCATAACATCAATGTTTTAAGAGTCCAAAACCAGCTACCAAATTATAAGACCACGGGCTTATATGCTTGTTTAAAATGCTCAGAAGTATGCAACAAACCCACCGCTAGCAGATATTATCCTCTTTGGGCTTTCTCTTTCGGGCTTCTCCTAAAGGTTTTTAAAACGTGTCTGCTAGGGAGAGGTTTCCACACCCTTATAAAAGGTGTTTCATTCTCCTCCCCAACCAACGTGGGATCTCACAATCCACTCCCCTTCAGGGTCCAGCGTACTCGTTGGCACTCGTTCCCTTCTTCAATCGATGTGGGACTCCCCAATCCACCCCCCTTCGGTGCTCAGCCTTCTCGCTGCCACATCGCCCATGTGTCTGGCTCCTATATCATTTGTAAGAACCCAAGCCCACTGCTAGCAGATATTGTCCTCTTTGGGTTTTCCCTTCCAGGCTTCCCCTTAAGGTTTTTAAAACGTGTTTCATTCTCCTCCCCTACCCAAGGTGGGATCTCATACCCAAGGTGGGATCTCATGTTGATAAACTCAAAAGTACTTGAAGGTATAATTTAACTTTATATAAGAACAGCTTGGTCCAATTATATATATATATATATATATATATATATATATATATATATAGAAACATGGAAAATACAAACTAAAGAAATTAAAAACTAACGAAAAGTAATAGATCCTTCTCAAAATTTCAGGCAAGTACGAATGAAGGAAGAACAATCCATACATGCAGTATTCGAAAAGAAACGATCAGCAATACAGTTCATCAAAATACCTCACTTCAGACCAAAATTGCACAACAAGATTGAGGTCGAATCTACAACATTTCAGTTCAAAATCACAAAAACTCCCTAAAATCCAAATCCAAAACATCATAAATTCGAATTCCCAATTTAGGAGTGGGCGGAGATTCCCAAGAATGCAAATAGCAACAGTAATAAGCGATAACAGATTAGAGAAACACCACCGATCAGTACAAGAAAAAGCCATTAAAGTGGAATCAATAGAACACAATTGATTAAACAGAGAGAATCGAAATGGATCAAAACAGAATAAACAACAAAATGGGTTTGATTCAAATTGAGAAATGGTGGATACCCACTTGGAGACAGCATGAATCGTGGAGGCCATGAGACGATTGGAAGATCTGCGATGGCGGTGAGTGGTATGGCATGGGAGATTCAGTGCAGGATTGAAATTCAAAGCCATTAGCGATGAAGAAAGATGAGTGAATGGAAGGATTGGGAAATGGGTTTTTGTGAGAATTTAGAGAGAGAGATGAGAAGAAGCACAAAAAGTGGTAAAGTTTGAAGGGTGGTTTTAGCGAGGGAGACGGCCAAACCTTGAACTCCAAACTCCCATGCCTTCCTCCTTTCTCTTAATTTACACTCTTTTTCTTCCTATACCCAAACTTAACATACCTTCATTTATTATTTCTTTCCTATATTATATAAAATGCTTCTCGAGATATCGATCGGGGCGTTCGTGGATTAGGTTAGGTTGAGTTCAAACATTTTTGTAGACCCAACTTAATTGTTCGAGCTGTTAATGTACTCGTCTTTTCAATCAGTAAAAAAAAGCAGTAGAGTCAAGGGTGGCCTCTAAGTAGAATTGACGGATCAAAATGACCGTTAGTCGAGCTGATATGTGATTGTATGATGAGACGAAGGGAGATCTACTGATAAGACTGTTTTTTCAAACCAAACAACTTTTATTAAACAATAAACACAACCCGACCCAATCATAAATTATTTAAATTTGATGAGTTTACATTGTTTTAATTGTTTATGCAAAATTTTATTTTTAAAAAATATATATTCATAGACCATTTTAAATATTTAATTAACCCGTTCAATATGAATATATTTTAATAAATTTTCCTAGAATAGTTAAGAATTATTTGTAAGTACAAATATTTAAAAAAAACTTATTTTTTAAAATTAAAAATAAATTCTAGATTATATCCAGTATAGTTTTAGGGGAACTCCTGACCAAACTCATACAGTTTTCATTTATATGAATCAAACCAAACTTAAATAAGCTCATCATCTCAACAAAAACAAACCCAAATAAGTTTATCACCGTACGAGTTCGTCACCCAAATTCAAATAAGTTCATCACCCATCTAAATCAAACTCAAATAAGTTCATCACGATATGAGTTTATCATCCCGACCCAAATAAGTTTATCACCGTACGAGTTCATAGCCCAACAAAAGCAACCCAAATAAGTTAATCAGCCAACAAAAACAGACCCAAATAAGTTTATCACCGTAGAGTTCATCGCCCAACAAAATAAACGCAAATAAGTTTATCAGTCATAAAAAATATACCCAAATAAGTTTATCAGTCATAAAAAATATACCCAAATAAGTTTATCACTATACGAATTCATCCTCCAACAAAAATAAACCCAAATAAGTTCATCAGCCAACAAAAACAGACCCAAATAAGTTTATCACCAGTTCATCACCCAACAAAATAAACCCAAATAAGTTCATCAATCAACAAAAACATACCCAAATAAGTTTATCACCGTACAAGTTCATCGCCCAACAAAATAAACCCAAATACGTTTATCACCGTACAAGTTCATCGCCCAACAAAATAAACCCAAATACGTTTATCACCGTACAAGTTCATCGCCCAACAAAATAAACCCAAATACGTTTATCACCGTACGAGTTCATTGTCCAACAAAATAAACCCAAATAAGTTCATCAGCCAACAAAAACAGACCTATATAAGTTTATCACTGTACGAGTTCATTGCCCAACAAAAATAAACCCAAATAATTTCATTAGCCAACAAAAACAAACCCAAATAAATTTATCACCGTACGAGTTCATCGTCCAACAAAATAAACTCAAATAAGTTCATCCGTCAACAAAAACATGCCTAAATAAGTTTATCACCGTATGAGTTCATCGCCCAACAAAATAAACCCAAATAAGTTCATCAGCCAACAAAAATATACCGAAATAAGTTCATCTCGGTACGATTTCATCCTCCAAACCTAAATAAGTTTGTATGCACCCATCGCTTTCATCTTCCACTTCTTCTCTCTCTGGCTCTCTTGTCACTTCTTCAATTCTCATCGTAATCTCCTCCGTCCATTCCCCAACATGATTGCAATGTGAAGAAATTGGAACAGGTGGCCCCAAAATCCAATAAAGAAAGAAAGAAAACCCACTAAAAATAGAAGAATTTGGGAAAGAAATGGAAATGAACATGTGAAAGTTATGTGGAGAGGATTTTGTAGGGAGAAAGTGGAGGGAATGGGGCATTGAAAAGAGATGGAAAATGAGAGGTCATAGAAGATAGTATACCACTAATTTCATGTCTAAACCTATTTCATCTTCATGCCAATCCCTTTCTAACATTCCCTTGCCATTATGGTCAAAATAGTTCGGATTTTAATGTCGTTCAACTACCATTTTGTCGAGTTCGTCGAGTATGAAGAGTAGGAAGGCCCTTGGACCAGACGTACGGTAACAGTTCAAGCTCACCACTAGCAGATATTGTCTTTTTTGAATTTTCCCTTTCGAAGTTTTTAAACACGTATGCTGGAGAGAGATTTCCACACCCTTACAAAGAATACTTTGTTCTTCTCCCCAATTAATGTGGGATCTCACAATCCACTCTCCTTTGGGCCAGCGACTTCACTGGCACTCGTTCCCTTCTCCAATCGATGTGGGACCCCTAATCCACCCTCTTCAGGGCTCAGCGTCCTTTTTGGCACACCGCCTCGTGTCCACCCTCTCTAGGGCTCACCCATTTGTAACGACTCAAGTCCACCGTTATAGATATTGTCCTCTTTGGGCTTCCCCTTTCGGGTATCCTCTCGAAGTTTTTAAAATGCGTCTGCTAGAGAGAAGTTTCCACACCCTTACAAGGAATGCTTCGTTTTCCTCCCTAGCTAATGTGGGATTTCACAATCCACCCCCTTCGAAGCCCGGCGTCCTCGCTGGCACTCGTTCCCTTCTCTAATAGATGTGGGACTCCCTAATCCACCCCGAGGCTCAGTGTCCTTGCTACCACACCACCTCATGTCCAACTCCTCTAGAACTCAACCTTCTCGCAGGTAAATTGCCTAGTGTCCGACTCTAATACAATTTATAAAGATTCTAGCCCACAGCTAACAAATATTGTCTTTTTTGGGCTTTCCCTTTCGAGCTCCCCCTCAAGGTTTTTAAAATGCGTCTAATAAGGAGAGGTCCTCCCCAACCAATGTGAGATCTCGCACGTACTCCCAATAAAGTTTTCGAGGGCAACTTGAAGTGTTGTGGGTGATGACTCTTACTTGGTTGCTTATTGCAATTTGAGACCATGTCGGGGTTGCGTGTAGATTCCGAGATGAGTTCGTGGGTTTTCTCGATATGAACGCTCAAAAAAGCCTTTAAACGTTAATTAAAAAATTAACGAAATTAAACAAAATGGGTTTAGCTAATAATAATCTTAGAAGTAATGATAATCAAAGTCTTTTTATCTTAATTTTCTAAGAGCAAGTGCTCTTCCAAACAAACTCTCAACCTCATTTGCTTCCATTTTAAGCTCATTCAAAAGATCACTCTCTTCTTTAGATAACTCTCTAAGGAAGAATTCCTCATCCCTTTGAAGTTCTTTAAGACCTTCTCCCAACTTCTCAACCAATGACATCTCTGCCTTCCCTACTGTTTCCACCTCTTTTTCGAGCTGTTCGACCTCCTTCTCCACCTCTTGTTCGATCTGTTCGACTTCCCTAACGATCGTTTGTTCTCCGCTTTCCAATGTCTTCTCTAGCCTTTCTACGAGCGGCGGCTCCGGGCCACACGAATTGTCTGTTTTTATGAACTTGTTGAAGTCTCTCCCTACGCTCTTAGCTGCCCTTTCTAGCTCGGGAACTACGCTTTCTGGCAATACTGCGCTTCTTGTGTATACAACGGCTCCGCCGTAGCCATCCCATGCATCGTTCCGACCACGATAGTATACGAAAATGTAATCGTCGGGTTTGTTCTCCACCTGGCTTGATAATATATACCTGAGAAGGAAGGAGATAAACAATTACAATTCCTAGTTGAGGCTACATATGATCAAATAACAGGAAAGGATTTTGGTCTTTAAGAGTGTGAAAACCTTTTCTTAATAGCTGCGTTTTAAAATCTTGAGAGGAAGTCCAAAGAGAATAATATCTGCTAGCGATGGGGTTGGGTTGTTACAAATGGTATCAGAGCCAGTTACTGGATGGTGCGAGGCACTAATCGGAGTAGGGCTAGACTCTCTCCCTAGTAGACAAAAACCTTGAGGGGAAGCTCGAAAGGGAAAGCCCAAAGAGGATAATATCTACTAGCCGTAGGCTTGGGCTATTATAAATGGTATCAGAACCAGACATCGAGTAGTGTGCCAGCAAGGACGTTGGCCCCCCAAGGGGGGTGGATTGTGAGATCCCACATTGGTTGGAGAGAGGAACGAAACATTCCTTATAAGGGTGTGGAAACCTCTCTCTAGTAAACGTGTTTTAAAACCTTAAGTGCAAGCCCGAAAGGGAAAGCCCAAAGAGGACAATATCTACTAGCGGTGGGCTTAGGATGTTACAAATGGTATCAGAGTCAGTTACTGGACGGTGCGAGGCACTGGTCGGAGTAGGGCCAGACTCTTTCCCTAGTAGACGCGTTTTAAAAACCTTGAGGGGAAGTCCAAAAGGAAAAGCCCAAATGCTAGCGGTGGGTTTGGGCCGTTACAAATGGTATCAGAGCCAAACACCAGGTGATGTGCCAGCGAGGACGTTGGCCCCCCAAGGTGGGTGGATTGTGAGATCCCACATTGGTTGGAGAGGAGAACGAAACAATTCTTATAAGGGTGTGAAACCTCCCCAAGTAGACGTATTTTAAAACATTGAGGGGAAGCTCAGAAGGGAAAGCCCAAAGAGAACAATATTTGGTAGCAGTGGACTTAGGCGGTTACAAATGGTATAAGAGTCAGTCACCGAACGGTGCGAGGCACTAATCAGAGTAGGGCTAGACTCTCTCTCTAGTAGACACGTTTTAAAATCTTGAGGGGAAACCCCGCATGGTAGTGGGAATCCCAATGGAATAGATCAGGTACAAGGAAATTTGAACATTTAGAAATGAAATGAAAGCATACCAGTCATCCTCATAGTGAAGATACTCATTGTTGTGGTTATAGAGTATCCCAGGATGCTCGGGATCTTGCACGAATCTCTGCGTCGTCGACCGAGTGAAAAAACCGCTATCTGGAGTTCGTATTCTCCACGTTATATTTCCAACAAGTTTGCCAGACTCTACATGAAATTCATGCAACTGACAATCAAACGTATCAAAAGTAGGATTTAAGCCACTAGTGATAAACCACTTCCCACTGAAATCTGATATATTGAAACTCTTGACAAGAACAGACGGGTCGGGTACA